AAGTGAAATGCCAGCACCTTATCTGGGGCTGTTCCTGTGCTTGGGAGACTTCCAGTCCTGTAACTGGTGGGGTTTCGATGCAGTTACAAATGTGAATGTCAGTACTATTTGTTTTTAAACGTGGTCATGAATTTTGCAAGAACTAATGCCATTTGGGAGGGTTTCTTTTTTTGTTTGTTTGTGGTTTTTTGTTTGTTTGGGTTTTGTATGTGTGTGTGATTTTTGCTTTGCTTTGTTTTGGTTTTTTTAACAAAAGGGTTTGGTTTTTTAAAAGCAAACCAAACCTGCAAAGGGAGCGTGGGAGCAGCTCTTGCTCCCGCGACATGGATTTTCGCAGAGGTCCGTTCAGGGAAACCTCGGGAAACACCTGTGTGTCCCACGCAGCCCGGTGCCAGCCGTTCCAGCCTGCCTGTGCCTGCCGGTGGATGCTGAGGGAGGCAGGGGCTCGGCCTGCCCGCTGGGGATGGAGCCCGGCCGCCAGGCCCCGCTCGGCGCCCGGCCGAAAGCGGCCGCCGCTGCCTCCGGCTCCGGCCCCGCCGCCCCCCGGCCCCGCGGCCCGAGCCCATGCCCGGCCCGGCGGAGGGGGCTGGCGGGGGGCCTGGGCAGGGGGACCCCCCGCCGGAGCACAGCGCTGGCGGCGCCCCTTCCCCACCCCAGCGGCCCCGCAGGTGTGTCTGGGCCGCGGCTCGGCCGGGCGGGTGAGGCGAGCGGGGCGTGCGGGCCCCGCCGGCGGGGCGGCCAGGGGGTCCCCCTGCCCTGCCCGGCGTGGGGCGAGCCCTGCCCGGCGTGGGCGAGGGGGGTGCCCGCAGCCCCAGGCAGCGCCCTCTGTCCCGCAGCGCCCCGAGGGGGCCGCGGGCGGAGCGGCCCGGCCGGGTACCGGTAGCGAGCCCCGCGGTCCCGGCCCAGGGAAGGCAATCTCGGAACGTTTTGCGTGTTTATACAAAGAAGTATCTTCCTCCCCCCCTTCCCCCCTCCCCTTTTTTTTTTTTTTAACTGCTGTATGTCTGTCCTGTGAGTGGACTTGAGCTGTTTTTCCTAAGTTAAGCAGAGCTGGGGAATGTTCTCGTGGCTGACTTCCTGACTGTCACTAACCTTCCATCCCCTCCAGATTAGCTGACTGAAGCTGGGGACAGCAGAGGCTTTGGAGTTCGGTGTCAGACAGCCGCAGTTGACATTAGGAAACGGACAGGGTCATGCGTGCCCACAGAGTTAGTAAGACAAAAACTATCGTGTATATATGGCTGTCAAGGATTTACTGTTTGTTGATGTGTGAGGAACCGTGTCCAGGGAGTGAGAAAAAGGTTAACTAAAACATCTTGTTCAAGAGCTTCCTCAGAGCATGAGCGTAAGGTCTTTGTTGTCTCTCACCCATGTTCTCTTCAGGTGCTCTTCCAGTGGATTTCCTGTGGGCTTAGTCTTAGATATGCTGGATACTTCAAACACAGAGCCTATCGGAGCAGCTGAGAGCTCTGCTCAGTCTGTGGGTGTAAAAAACATAGGAAGAAATGTGAATGCCTCCAGGCCTCCTACCTCACACTACCTGACCATAAAGCACTATAGTCCGATTTAGTTCCCCAGTCTCATCTCTGGTTTGCACTCTGCTATTTGAAATCTGCAGTCTTCTTTTCTTTGTTGCTATTGTTTGTATGTATGCGGATACAGTAACTTTTGTTACGGGACTTCATCTGCATCTGCAATTATAGGTGGTTTTGGAAGAGATATTTGTACATCCCTTTGCACAGATAAATTACACAAGAAGCCCCCTTTTGCCTTGGGATGCTACTGGTAATGCTTGTTGAACTGTTGTGCTTACCAGTGAGTAGTCCTGATTCATTGTCATCAGTTTAGTGGATTATGACTTGGAAGCAAAAGTGGGGAGAAACTTTGTCTGTTTTCTATGCTTTCACAACCAGTATCGTCCTGAGATAGGTGCTGTTTACCACATGAACTCTAGGTGTCATGGAGAACAGCTGCCCAGTAGCTGTTTACTAAATTTTAGATCATGGGTGTCTTTAAGTTCCCTTCTTCTGCATACCCTGTTATTACTCTAATTGTAAATTTCATCAAGCTTAAGGAAAACTGTGTGGAAGTATGTTGGCAGGAATTTGGAAACTTTATTGCCACAAGAAGTTTCTGCTTTGTAGGATGGAGTTGCACCTCTAGTTAGCCAGATCACTGAGAATATGTATATATTTTTAACATGGAATCACTGTGCTAAGACTGCTGGATTTGGGTCCAAATAAGATGGATTTAGCATGTGTATGACTCAGGAATATTATAAACTTTGATTTTATGTTTTTCTGTCCTCACATTATATCTCCATCTGCTTTAGTGACCCTGTAACACAACAGATTCCTGTTTCATTTGAAAAATTTCTTAATAAAAAGAATTACTTCTGAACTTTGAAGGCCGTTTTGGTTTAGTAGTGTGATGGCTTCCTTGGGACATTTAAAGGTTTTTTTCACATCAGCTGAGTAATCTGCTTGAGATCCAACTCATTTCTTCCATCTCTTTTATCTCTTTGCTGGGAAGCTCTTCTTCCCAGCTGAACTTCATATTAATCAAGCTTGGTGTACTCTGCTTGGCACAGTGTTCCGTAATCCAGGCAGCAATTCACAGTGTTGCAGCCATGCAGTCTATCTGCACAGGGCAGAACACTGTCATCTCATCGTTATTAGGGTGACATTTCTCTTTTGGAAAAGTATATTCATCACATCATCCTAATAGCAGTGTATCTGTGGCTCAGTGGCTCAGCAAAATCAGCTGTGGCAAAGAAGTCACAAAGAGTAATTGGGAAGTCTTCAAGTCTTTAAAGTCCTGACACCACAGACATAGTTCGCTTGCTACATATTCTAAACAGGAATATTTGTGTTCGTCTGGAGATGGGGTTCGATTTCCAGGTCCTTTTAGATGGTGTCCATGTTTCTGTGAAGTTGTATACAAGTTTGCTGGTGAAATTAGTGGAAAAGACCCTGATATGATTTTTTTCTTTTCTAAGCACAAAGAGTTTCAGTTTGGTTTAGGTAATCTGGTACTTTATTCTAGTGAAGAATAGTGTTTTCTTTTGATAACAGTTTGTTCTGTCTCAGTATAGCTTCATACAATTAATTTATGTTTGCTCCATGGATTCATCAGTGCTGCATCTAACACTAGGGATGTTGGAGCTTAGCTGCTTAGGAAACTGTTTGCCTGAAGCCTTTGTAAAGAAACGGGAAGAATTGCTTTGGTAGGGTTAGCGAGTCTTAGTTTTGGAGAGCAAATCTTGGGGAAGGAGAATGAGATGTGGCCTCCTCCAGGTGAGCTGCCAGAATTCAGGAAGGAACACTGGTCCATTGTCTGGAGCATGCTGGGCTGGTTGGACACTGACTTGTGCTGGTCTTGGAGAGGGGAGAAATGGGCTGAGTGTCACCCACATTCAGGAAGGGAGGAGTGCCGGCTCAGTATGGGGCACTTCATGGCTGCCTGCTGGAGAAGCAGCAGCTTGTGTTCCTTCTTTCCCCTCCAACTCTGTGCTGCCATCCGCTGCTGCCACTATGGTTTATTGTGATGGTGGGCAGGAAAGGGAAGACAAAAAAAGATGCTGAGCAAGTATGTCTGGCCTGGGGAGAAGAGGTATGTATTTTACCCTGAGAGGTGTTGGGGAGTGCAGGGAAAAAGCTTGAGAATAGTACTGAACTAAATTATGTAGCAAAAGGGAAGATCCTTTCCATTTGATCAGAGTATCTCTTTTCTTTTCTTTTCTTTTCTTTTCTTTTCTTTTCTTTTCTTTTCTTTTCTTTTCTTTTCTTTTCTTTTCTTTTCTTTTCTTTTCTTTTCTTTTCTTTTCTTTTCTTTTCTTTTCTTTTCTTTTCTTTTCTTTTCTTTTCTTTTCTTTTCTTTTCTTTTCTTTTCTTTTCTTTTCTTTTCTTTTCTCAGACTGGCAGAACCCCCAAATTCTGCTGTTTTGTGCTGTTAAACCTGAAATATTTATCAGCACTGAATCCATGCCTGACTTTTTGTGCTAAAGTTGCTAGGTTCCTATAGTTCTGTTATATTATTCTTCCCCAGACAGTAAGACTAGTTTGATTAAAAAAAAAAATTAATTCTATGTTTAAATCTGTTCTGGCTTAGCCCTCTTCTGAACACCTCCCAGTATTATCATAAAAGCGTGTTGTAACAACCAGAGCAAGTAGGGTAAATCCAATACTTTAAGTTGTGTTTTATGTGGGACTTTTTAACATGTCAACTAACACTGGGCCTTTTTACTTTTCTTTTTCTTGAAGCCCCATTCCACCTCTGGGGAAGGTAGCTTTTATTTTATTGTTTATGTAGGATGTGTAGAGAATTTAAGAAATTCACTTTGGGATTATGCAGAGTTGAATTACACCTTCAGAAACTCTCAGAATGGATTTCCTGCTTTTAAAATTCTGCTGTTCAGGTATTGTGTTAAATATGTAACACTTAGGCGATCTCTCTCCTCCACTTTTAAGAACAGATATGCAGGTTAGTGGACAAACATTTGGTATTCACTGCAACTCTTTTCAAGATGGTTCTTCTTTGGAAGATATGATGTCTGCTTTGAAATTTCAGTGGTGTCTTTCTTCTTAAAGGAGAATTCCTAATAAGAGATTCTATTCTGTCCGCGATAGTAAAGCTTCTTATTAGACACAGAGAATCAGATCTCCCTGTATAATCTATTTAGGATCATTTATTGTAAAGCACTGGCTTCTTTGAAATAAAGAACAGTCTTTGCACATGCATTGGTGAAAACAAATAAGGTAAGAAAACTCTTATAAATACTTCTCTATATACTGTAAGATGATAGATGTACACACATATAGGGGATACATGTTTTTGCAGGATTAGAACCTAAAAAAGAAAACAAGTTTTATTGAAAACCTGAAAATTAAGGGAAAAGTTTATTATAGCAAAATAAAATTCCATGATTCAGTGCAAACTTTTTTATTTTTGCAGAGGCAGCAGGATTGTGACTTGCACTTACACAGTCAGCAACTGGAAAAATGCCAGATTCTAAAAGTAACTTGGTGTCTTCATATAAGGATGTTAAAAATGATACGTCAGACTTGAATGAAATTAAAATTTCGGATGAAAAAGGATCTGTTGCAAAAAGGACAGTGACTCTGATTGAGAAGGATGGCTATCCCGACTCCGTATACATGAATGCAGCTAAGATTTTTCAAGGCATTCGTACTGAAAAGAGTAAGGATAGAATGCTGGTGCGGTACGGCAATAACTCAGAATCTCCCGTGCTGGCATTTCAAGATGAGCATTCCAGGCGTGTATCTTACGAACTGGCTTTCAGTGCTCTAAAATGTAAGTACAAAACTTTTCCAAGAATTGCCAGCAGAAATGATGCAGCAGGGAAAATGTGGGAAAGCAATATTTTCAGTGTCTGCCTGACAGCAGAGATCTGAGGAATTTTTTGTTAAACTGCAGGTTATTACTAGACTACTCATATCCCTCAAGTAGTTAAATATAGGTAAGTGTTATTAGCATTTTGTGAAATCAAACATTTAAAACCTATACTTTTTCATATAAAGGAATTATATAGAGTTGATACTCTTTGTGATTGAATTTTCCCTTAATTTTCATGACATTTAAACTCACAATGTAGTGATTTATAAGGTTTTCTTTTTCTTCCTGGAATTTTGTAGATTTCATAGCATGACTTGTCAATATTTTCTTTTTTTTGCAGATCAAGATCTTCTTGAAGAAATATTGTTAGATAGTGGTGTTTACCCATGCCAGTCAATAGTAAGTGAACGTTGTTGTGAGGAAATAAATTTTGTATTTTCTGCACTGATGTAATTAGAATCTTTCCTGAGGATTCTGCAACGTTCTTCAAAACAACCTTTGTTGTTTTGAACTGTATGACAGGCTCAGACTGAAATATTGCTGACTGTTTTAGGTAGTTGTCCAAAGCATCCCTCTCCAAAGTACTAGATATGTTGTTTGTGAGATTCTGTTGCACCTTACAACCCTTTGAAGGGAATCAAAACCTTCAAAGAAAGAAGGTGGGAGAGCGAACCATAATCTTTTTCTGCAGTGTAGTACTTGCTCAGTCAGATTGTCCATGTGCTTTCCTTTCCATCCGTGTCCCCTTGTGAGCAGGGAAAAAAAATCATTTATCCTTCCTGTCCTTGGGAGTTAGAAAGCGTGGAGTGAACCCCATCAGACAAAAAAATGCTTTGAATCCACATTTCATTTCCTGGGCAAACTGTACTGTATAGAAATATTGTACTGGCAAAAATTGCTCCAGGTTACTCTCTGAACATACTTTCCTGCTTTGACATGAAAAGAAATTCTAGACTTTACAGAGTAATTTGCTGTTCCTTCAATGGAAGGTCTTTGATGCCTTTGAAAACTGCAAGATGAACTTGAACTGATAGTATTTGTGGAGATTGATGTGAGCAGGCGAATGATTTAACACCTTTAGCTTGTTTTTGTAAGGAAGTAAGACTTACATGCTAACATTCCGTGTTTGGTGGTATTTTCCTAATAACTTGAGTTTTCTAAATAATTTTGGTCATATTTGTGAGAAGGTGAGCATCTTAGAAGGCATAATAACTGTAGGAATTTCATGGAAAGAGGTAGACAGTAGTAACAGAAGTGCTGTTAATTATTGTCTGTAAGCAGGTGATGCTCCTTGGTGTAAAAATTTAGACATGGAAGGAGATTTTACATAATTCCCAACAGCAGAACGGTTATTACAGTTGAGCTTATGGGTTACTACATATGGAAGAATCCCACAAGAAATGAATTGTAGACAAGAAGTTTTTGTTAGCTTTGCTACTCAGTTCCTTAATGAGGAGAAAACAATTCCAATTTTTCAATTCTGATAACGTTAGAAGATGTTAAAATGTAGTGTTTTATCTGTGTGTGGAGAATGTTTTTAATTTTGGTAAGCTAAATAACTTACAAGATGTGTATTTTGAGTTTTTAGAAAAAACAATCTTCAGTGTTTTATTAGCTCTCCATACAGAATTACTTTTTTATTCTTACAAATAAGCATTTCACTGGAGTTTTTAATGCCTCTTACACGGGAGACTACTGTTTGATATGGATCTTTTTGCAGAAGTAAGGCACACTTTGTGTCACTTTGGCTATCCAGCTGCTTTTCTGTTGCAGCCAGATGAGTTAACCAGCTTGCTTGTTGTGATGCTTTATGACCTGCAAGACCGAAAGTTTGAAGCACGAAAGATTTTTGACCAAGAGAAACCTGTAGAAGAAGTTCAGGAAATAGGGCATTATCTATACAGGTATATGTGCAAAGAGCTTTCTTTGTAGATATATATTAGCAAAAATGCAGATTTGTATAACATGTACCTTTTAAAAATAATTATTAAGCATGTCTTCTATTTTCAAATTTTGTGGACTTTATTTTTAATGAGAAACTAGTTTGAAGGGAAACTTTCATATATATATACACACACATATATATATAGTTAAGAAAAATACAGCTAACAAACCATCCTTATATTATGGATTATTTTACTAGCATCTTATCTTATTTTTGATGTTGTTGAAACTCTTTTCATACAATTTTAGGAGAGAAATTAAATATTCAGTAAACGTTCATAAATATGAGTGTAATAGAATCACGAGGCCATGGAATGGAATAACATCCATCTATTTAGCAACACTTCTATTATGGAACTTTATTTTACATACCCTTTTTTTTGTTCTAATTTTTAACAATAATAAATATTTAACAAACATTTTAATATTTATTATTTCTTTCATCAGTCAGTTGAGGAACTCTAAAGGCATTTATTAGACAAAATTGTGCTGTTGCTGGATTTAGAGTAACCCAAAAACTTACTGAATATCTTAAGTGCAAGGTATTTTTGGAGGACAGTAAGTAATATATCTCAAGTTGTTCACCAACAATTTTTATTTGCTTTAAATTATCATGTATCAAGAGCTTGTGGGAATAAAAGACTGGGAAAATTTTCTCTGACTTCTGGTTGCCATCGTACTTGTATTGGTGTTGTTTCTGTAGAACGGGTCAGCTTTCATCAAATGCTCATTCTGCACATGTATGTATTTACATTTTCAAACATTCAAATGAATCTCATTAATGTATTCCACAAATGGAAGTTCCAAAACATATTGGATTGGGGTTTTCTAAGCTGTTTGAAAAAGTGAATGCATTTGAGAGTCATCTGTCATAACTCCAGTCCCAGCTTCATTTAAATAAAATAATCTTAGCTGTGGACTTGCCTCTACCATTGTCTGGGATAGGAAATGTTCTTATTAAACTTGTGACTGTGTTTTTGTAGTTGTAAGACCAAATTGGCAGCTGCACTGGCACGATGTCGCATTAAATACGATGCTCTTTCAATTGAACACTTTGTACCAGAAACCATATGGAAGCAGGAGCAAAGGGTTTCTGCTTTACCTTTCTGTGTTTGGATAAACACATTTAAAATCAGGTAAGGACTTTAAAGTATCATCTGATATTGATGTTTTTACATATGGAGTGATAGAGTTTGCTCCATGCTTGTTTTAGAATTCCCAGGTTGTATTTTTACCAATAATTTTAAATTCTTACAGGAAATTCTGATTAGTCCAGTTCCATTGTGTTATGTTTGCTTGTAGTTTTTATATATTGCAGTAATGGTATTCATACCCTGTAACAAGGTTGTGAAACACTTTTTCTTACTATTTTGTTGCTTGTGTGGGTCTTTAACCAAATAAACAAGAAAATAAAAATTAAAAAAAATATGGGTGAGTGAACTTGATGACAAAAGAAATAAAAAAACACTTTAAAAAAATCTTATATTTTGTACACTACTTTATATAGTCTATACACCACTATAACTGGTGTTCCCAGTTCTGTACTAACTGACACATGAACCATACCAGATTATCCTGTTATCTGTTTTGTTAGACAGGTAATCCATTTTATAATGTTTTCAAGAATTTTGGTTTCCTACTCTGGTCTTGGACCAGTGTTTGGTGCTTAGAAGATAATGTGTCTTACTCTGGTTGTGACTTTGCAACCCTTAAATAAGACTGAATTAAAAGCTGCTGCATTCATCCCACATTTAATGTACCACATAAGGCTATGGCATGGTCTGAAATGGCATTTCAGCAAACAGGTGTTGCTACATATACCTTTAACTCTTTATGATATTTGAATTGCTAACCTCAGGAGTTATGCCTACATTACATTTACACAAGGATTCTTTCAGTTATCAACCATTAAAATCATTGGTGAGTTGGGCTAAATTGAAAGCAATTGAAAGAGCTAAAGCTTTTCAGCAGTAAATTTTCTTCAGTGTCTCCTGAGCACATGGACATTTCTGTTTTGATGCTTCGAATCATTCTCTGGAGACACATACATCTTTCTTAATTTATTTTGTCAGACTTATTAACTTAACTGTTTCAAACCAGAACTTATATGCCTAAAATATAGTAAGTTCCCCTCCTGCAGGCAGTATGGCATTGTATACCTATGTATGTATGCATATGTATGCACACACTAATAGAAGTAAAAAATTCATATAATCAATGTTGCTTAAGTAACTCTTGCATATTTAATGGTCAGAGTTGTATGTTAACAGCCTTGAAGATGTTATCAGCAATTTGGAGACGAAGGGACTCACAAAGGTTGAATCTGTGTCAGACTTTAACCATTATACGTATGCCGTGGACCAACATTGCCATGATGTATTGGTTTTTCCTTCCTCTCTTAAAGAAGAATTGCTTAATTTAGATCTTTTTGCAGATTGTAAACTCTTACTGCAGGTGAGTTGATGTCACCCTTGAGTCAGATGATCTGACTTTAGCAAACTAAAGTAATTGCTTTGCATTAGAATGAAGTTGTGTATTGTGTGACTATCCTATTAAATCAGTCAGGCGGCAACATACTCTCATAAGGTTTTGGTTATTTTTAGTAATTAGAAGGTTACAAACTCATTCACTTACTAAATATAGCATGCAAATGTCAATGCTTATCAGTGATAGGTACAATAAAGTTAGTAGAATGTTTTAAATTTATTCTTAAAACTGTTGACATTAAATATAAAAAGTGATCAGAGAGGCAGTCTCCTAAAAAATGTGAGGAAAGTTTCATGTATCTCCAAATGCTTTTCCCCAGTTAGCAGATATTGGTGTGCTATTGTAGTATATTGTGAACTTAAAGTGGGTACATAAACAATGATGTGAACTTAAAGGTTTATCACTTTTTTCCCCCTCCTTCCATTTATCATCAGTGTTTGTCCAATTTGGTGCAAGACCTTGTACCTGTGGTCCGTATCTTTACTCCTTGCCATTTTAAGTAATCTGATGGAGATGATGTTTTCTCTTAATCACCAGTGGTATGAGACCATTTACTCCTTTTCAGTGGTCCCTGTGTTTTCTGCATTCCAGTCTGGCTCTGTGTTGTTCAAATTTCAGCAAAATTTTGATCTTTGATCTGTAATGATTGTCAAGAGCTATGGAATAATTTTGAATTTCTGTCTTAAGTTGCCTCTGAGAATGAATTCTGCCTGTTCTGAATTATGGCCTATGTTTGTTCTTTTCTGGCTGTTGCTAGGAGTTCTTCATCCCTCATGGGGATGATGTGCATTCTCTCTTTTCACCTATGGATATTATACTTTTTTAATGTATTATTTAGAATTAAGTTATTTAAATTTATTGAGTGACTGTTTTTGTACTTTATTTAATTCTGGATTAGCAGCTATCTCTGGTTAGTTTTTTCCTCCCTTCTTTCCCATTTCCTATGAAAACAATTAAATACTTTGCTTATTTGGAAAAGAAGGTTGGGATTCACAGAAATCAAAATAACTGGTTGTACTTAATTTTTTGTCATTGTTTTCCAGGATAAGTCTCGCAGCCTTGCTGTACACTCTGCACAGGCACTGTTGAATCCAGGTGATGACATTATAGTGGCTCACACAGGTTCCCATCTGACCATTGCCCATATGTCAGTGCTGACAAATCATGGCATGTCCACAATTTTTGTTTGTGGTGTGAAATCTTCAGCAAAAGAAGAAGAACTAAGGAATATTTTCAGTCACATGGGATGTGAAAGTAGGTGCTGAAACAGTTGGTATGCAAAAAGTGTTGTAATACAGATGTTTGTGACATCTGTAAATACAGCACAATTCTATCAGAATTCAGAGATGCCCTTTTGAAGACTTGTCGAGGGCAGTAACAACTTTTTTTTTTGTCACAAGGTGAACTGGCAGCTCTTCAGCTACAGTCCAGTTAACTGAAGGTTGCAGATTAACCATGTCATAAATGGAAGCTCCTGAAATGTCAAAATGAATTTTTCCATAGAAGTACTGACTGTATAGCAGTTGGTGTAGCTGGTAGCTGGGAACTTTGGGGTCCATTTATTTGGTGCTTTGGATGTTGCTTTCAGTCTGATTTTCAGCTGTTTGAGAGTGTTAATTCAAAACACATATACTTGTTCAGTTTATGTGGAGGACACGATCAGAACGGAATGCAACAAGACCCTGCAGACCCATCATCTGTCTTTTCAGTGGAAGATGCGGGTCTAGTTAGCCTTTCAGTTCACTGAAATCCATAGGTTATACTTTGGAGGATCTGGGTCTAGCAGGCTCTAGCTCTACTGAAATCTGTGTAACAACAGTCTCTTCACTTGTATCACCTGTAGGTGGGCTTGTTTGCATTGTATAACTGTTGAGTTCTTCCTTTATTTTGCAGATATTCAGTTGTTACATGAAGACTTTACTGAGCTTGAACCAACAGACCGAAGACTTCAAAAGGCAACAGTTATTTTGCTGCTGCCACAATGCTCTGGACTGGGTGTTGGCAATCCAATGGAGTTTATTTTAAGTGAACACAGAGGTAACTTTTGATACAGAAAAGCTCATGCTTTCTGGTAGAAATGAATAAATTCAAGTATTGTGGCCTAGACATTATAGGTACTTCAGTAAATTGTATAATTTTATTTAAAAACCCTTGTTTTAATTACTGTGAAACATATATTAACTTGCATAATTCTCTGTTTGCTTCAAGTTGGTAGTATGAAGCTTGAGGGTTATTTTGGGGAACAGAATGTATATATTTCTTTTTAAAGTAAAAAGACTATAGGTAGAAAATTTATTTCAATATACCAATACGCATATAATTTTCCATTTGCTTACATTCCTTTATTGACTGTTTGTATAATTCTGTTCACTGTACAATTTTCATTAAATAGAAGCAAATATGAGGCACCAGTAATTACAAGTAAAGAAGGAAAGCAAATAAATTAGGCACTCCTTGGTATTCTAATTTGTAAAACGTTCCTTCTAACTGCACTAATAACAACCACGTCTGTTTCTGCAAACAATTGAATTTTAAGACACCGAGTTGCAATACTAAATTTACAACTCTCTGCTTCTAGATGCAGGATTGCTACGAGACCTTTTCCAGGGATTTGTGTCTGAGGATAAACTCAGTATTCTTGCTGAAAGGCAGCTTAATGAGTTGATTCATGCACTGAAATGTAAGTGTGCTAGTTCTCCAGTTTCTGGGAGGACCTTGTACTATCAATTCCATTGTACTATCACCAGTTTTTATATAGTTAAAAATACATGGATTACTCTATTAATTAAGCATGTAACCTAAACCCCTGAATAATGTTCAGCTCCAGTCTGAAGGTGTTTCTGTGTCCTAGTGTTCACCAGACATTAACAAATAGTCTTCAGCATTGTGTAGAGAACTGGCTTATGGCTTAGTCACACTCTGATTTGGAAATGCTGCAAATGCAGTCAGACTCCATCTGCATGCTGCCACTTTCTTCCCCTCTCCTTTTGTAGCTGTGTGAAAAGATGGATACAGCTTTGAATTTGTGCTGTGATCTGCAAATATTTAACATTTTAATTATTAAAAACCAGTAGAGATTGCATACTAATGTGTGCGGGAGGATATTTTTATTGGTAAAAGTGACATCCAGGCATAACTTTTGTGATGCTTTCAGTCCTTACCAAGCCACTGTCTGTACGAAGAACCTGAACAGTAGAAAATTTGTTTTGTTTTGTAGTTAACAAAGTACAAGCTATTGTTTACTGCACTTGTTCAGTTTACCCTCAAGAAAACGAACTAGTAGTGAAAAAAGCACTGGAATCTGGAGTGGAAGGAGATAAAGTACAACCATATAGGTATGGAATGAGTAGTTTTATCTATGGAAAAATTGAAGTATAACTTTAAATTGTAGCATAATTCTTGTCTCCTAGACTGATATGTGTCTTGCATTAAATTAATATTTACAAAGTTTTTGCTGCCTGTCATGCCATTCTTTCTGATGTTTATGAGAGCACTTAGCAGTATTCTATTGACTTTTTCATCTAATAGTTTTGTTCATCTGAAATTGAGATGGGAGGAAAGCATCACTGGTTGGAAATAACAAAAAGCCATTGCTTTTATTGTATCAGTATTCAGAGAATGAAGCTAGTTTAAGATAAAATGGAGACTTGAAGTCAAGGAACTTGCTAGCAGGCTCTCAACTTCTGACCTAGAATGATCAGCTTCAAAGGAAAAAGAAATTAAATCTTAAATTGTGAGAATAATATAGAAGAATAAGAACACTAGCTGTAGGATTGCTCATCCCTGTATTCAGATGAATGACTTGTGGGGAGGACGGGTTACATTAAGAGATCATCCTGTGCAATCATAACAAGTATATATGAAAAAAGTATGTGTTATGTATACTTTATAATATGTAGTTATGTGCAGTTAAAACTGTCAGCTGTCACTCCTGTCAGACAAAGAAATTGTTAAAAGGATGGTGAGTACTTTCTGGATTTTCCTTTCAGTCACAGTAGATAAATGCAAACAGTGGGCACTCGCACATAGATACAATAGATGATTACGAGATGCAGGTTAAGAGAGTGTATGTTGCCAAAACCACAGAAGAGTAATACTATGTTTTTAGACTTTATATTACCTTAGATGATGTTAATAAGCTGGCTATCGCAGGGAAAGGTACCGTGGCTTAAGATATCATTCAGTGTAATTAAATTTTGCATGATTACAATGGTAAATATTAACTGTGGCCAGTCCAAAGAATTTTGAAAAGTTGTATGTTATCCATAAGGTTAAGGCAAAGTGCAACAAAATGCATCTTTCTTGCAGTGCACTGATAAAAATTAGCCTGGTTGAATTTTTACATTAAGTGGAATGAAATCGGGGCTTGTCTCACCAGTGAGGCTAAGTTAGTCCAAAAGCATCTATGGCTCTTTGCTGAAACTGTGTTTTCCTTTGAAATTTTGTGGAGTCTGTCATGTCTTGATCTCTGTGCAGCTATTATGCTATGGGGAGAACCCAGGGAACTTTGGAATGAAATGGTCTCCAAATCAGTTGAATACACATAATACATAAATTCATAACAGAATTTGGATTAAAAAGAAAAGTTCTCAGAGCTTTAATTATTTTAGAAAAAATTCCCCCTTGTGTAAAACACCTCCCCTCCCCCCAAAGCCAAACCAAAATCTATTCAGTGTTTTGCAGAAGGATCATGAAACTTGTCAAACTACCAAATTACACTTTTACTTTCAAAGTAAGGCAATCTCAGATGTTCAGAAAGGGACAATAAAATTAAATTAGGATTTTGGCAGACCTGAGCAAATTTGTGACTGAAGACTGACTGAGCTCCATCAGTAACAATTTCAGAATGAGTTTCTCCTGCACAGTTCTCTCTACAGTAAAGCTGCTGGTAACCAGCATGAAGAGAATAGTAATAGAACACCAGAAATAAAATATATAGTGTGATTATGCTTAAGATGTCTTATATGGCTCAAGCCATTTAAGATGCATGTACTACTTACAACAATTCCTTTTACGCTTTTCTTAGAATTACTTAGAGAACCTACCTGAAACAATGCAGTGTAAAACAATGCAGTATAGAATGAAAAACCTGTTGCAGAATTACTAGCCCCAGTGTTTACAGTAGTGTCTTTGAGAGGCAAGTTACACTAATAAAACATCCTGTATGATCATCACAGGATTATTTTCCTTTTCCAATAAAATTGAGGGCTTTCAGGAAACTCTTACACCAGTTGTGCTTATGTGCATTATACCTTTTGGAATTACTCTGCAGTACTGGAGTAGTGCTGAACAAAATAAGGCTCTACTGGAGTTTGGGGTCATATGGCTGGTCTTGGGGCTGTGCAGTTGTAAGGGTGATTTTAAACATGTACCCACTGGCTAAGCTGAGCTTACCTTAAGGATGTGACAGTTTTATAGCAAAGGTTTCACCTTAAGTAGGGGTACACTTTGTGAACAGGTGTGTTTAGAGAGGAATCTAAACCACTCATGCATTTCTCTGTGGTGTATCAAATTGAGTTAATTTCTGCATCATTTTTCAGGGTCAGACCATCCATTGAAGGGATTCCTGGTAACAGTAATTTGTGTACATCAATAAAAATAATCACTTTTTTTTTTTTTTTATATTGAGTGAGCTGATGTAAAATGAAAAACCTCCTGTGTCACAGGACACATGATGTGAGGAGGATATGAGCCTTGTAGTCTGTTTTGTCAAGTTCCAAAGCACATAGAAAAAAATCCAGATTATGGTGGAAACTTGGAAACAAACAGTTTTGCAGACTTCCCATTAGAAATGAACTAGCCAGCCAAATCAGGATATTGCTTACAAATATTAAATGCATTTCTCCATAAGCATCTTTGAATGAAGCTCTGTCTCAAGAGGATTAATGGAACACTGAGGAGGGGCTCTATCTTATGTGAAGAGGAAGGGGGTTATAATTGCAAAAGGATATTTTGAGAGTGTTTTTTCTGTACTTAGGCCTCTTAGTACTAGTTTAGCAGCCTTATGAGCCAAGTCCCTGAGGCCTGTTTATAACAGCTAGGTGTTCCTGGAATATAAGGAAAATATGAGAAAAGTCTGGTTCTTCCTTCCCCACTAATGCACTGTCAAGCTGTAAAGCTGGAAAAACATCACTCAATTATTAAAAATATTTTTAGTTTAGCAAATTTTGCTAACCTAAGGTTTTTAGCTTAGATATATTATTTATTATGAGCATATACTATTAACTCAAAGTCAATATCTCTGCAATTTCTGAGCTGCTTAGTGTTTTCAGGTCATTCCCCAACTTCATGGACAACTTGATAACCCAGTAATTTCAGACCTGAGAAAGGACAAAGTTTTTTGTTATATTAATACATATTTATTATCTGGTGGTTAATATACTTAATAATTGGAAAAAATGGGAATTATTGAAAGAATGGAAAAACCCCATTGTTTCTAAAAAGGTGAATTCTTGTGCCTTTCTTGAATTGCAGTTGTTTAAAATTAAGATAAAGTTATGTCACTGAAAGGCATATTTGGAAATTACTTTTAGTGCATCCTTGTTTATTTCCTTTTATATCCTTAAATATTATTTTCTGGTATTTTGTTTATTTTTTACAGGCTTATTCCTCCTGTTTTTTCTACTTGCTCCAATTCAGAGGCTCCCACTGAAATTTTTTTCAAAATGGAGCCATCAGAAATTTCCAGTGGCTGTTTTGTAGCCGTTTTAGAAAGAGAGGTAAGCTAAGGAAGTTACCATTTAAAATCACTTTCACAGAAGATGACTACTGAAATTTTCCACAAAAGAATAAATGAAATTGAACATTTGAAATAAAATTCCTGGAGGCTCTGTAGTTGTCTCAAGACCAAAGGATAGGGAGCAGTTGAAATGTGCCACTTCTGGAATTTTGTGCTGAGCGCAGTTTTCTAACATGTGCCTGTTGTTCTGGAGCTGTTCGTGGTCAGAGCAGGCCCATGATCCAAGTCAGTGCCAGCAACATCAAGAGGATATATACTGTTCTCACACCTTGGAATGAAATATATAGGTTGATTAGACTCATGATAAATGGTGTCTAGTAAAGTTATTTGTTATATGTGTCACCGGGATTCAGATGAAGTCTTAAACCCTATGGGTGACACTATTATAATTTGAGTGAAATAGGTATGAATATGTTTGCTTCCCAAACTAAGGCATATGCAAATCTGCCTTGAAAGGCAGGGCGCTTTTGCTGAGTAAACAGAAAAATGTTGGCACAATTCCTGAGGAAAGGCCTTAAAGGGCTAGTTTGCATCTCTGAGCATCAACATTTTACTCTTGTGTCTGAGAAAAACAAGAATTTTTTAACCAAAAGAGGAAGAGGTGGGGGTGGGAGCAGCTAAGTAGAATTTCATTGCAAATTTATGACAGATCTCATTTGATCATTTGTGTTATTTTCTGTCATACTGTGATCACAGTGCTTGAAAGAACCTTGTCTCTTACGGAAAATTAGAAGAGAAGATTTTATTAAGAGTAAGAGAATCACACGTGAAAAGCCTTTAATGTACCTATTATTGACCTTCTTTTCAATAGAAAATATTTTCAGCTTGGCTCCCTGAGTTTTAGTTAATCATGCTGTGTACATCTGTTTACCACGTGTCTCCCCCCAGAGAAACAAGTACTTTTGTTTCAGGTAGTTAATTCGAATAATTTTTGTCAAATTCTAATGCATAGAAGCAATTGCTCCTATGGCCAATTTTTAGGTGATTTGGGAAATGAACATTCTCCATGAGGCAGAAAACACGTACTTACAATTTAAATTGAAATTTCTGGTTTATAGAAACCCTCTTCTTAGCAAGCTCTAAGCAGTTTCTTCCCCATTTTTTCTCTTTATATGCTTGGATGCTGAGCTGGTTCCTAGTTAATCAAGTCTGAGAATTCCTTACTTATGTATTATGAGGGAAGATTTTCATTATAGTGAAAATTCATATTTTCATATAGCGAAAGTTATTAATGTTTAATGTTACTGATAAAGTTTCTGTATTTTAGTAACTATTTCTGATACACACAAGCACACACATATGTTACGTATATGCACGTTATTACAGACACATTACACAGCAGGTCCTTGTGGGAGTGTGCTGGTTTCAGCTGGGGTAGGGTTAATTTTCTTCCCAGTGGCTGATGTGGGGCTGTGCTTTGCATTTGTGCTGAACACAGGGTTGATAACACAGAGGTGTTCCTGTTACTGCTGAGCAGGGCTAACACAGAGCCAAGGCCTTCTTTGCTTTTTGTACTGCCACGTTGGTGAGGAGGCTGGGGGTGCTTGGGAAATCGGGAGGAGACACAGCCGGGACAGGTGACCCAGACTGACCAAAGGCACATCCCGTACCATGACATCACGATCAGTATATAAGGTGGGGGGAAGAAGGAGGAAGTGGGGACATTTGGAGTGATGGCACTTGGCTTCCCAAGTAACCCCTGTCTTATGAACCCATGAGTTTTCTGGCTTTTACCCTTCTGATTGTCTCGCTGACCCTGCTGGTGGGGGAATGAGCGAGCTTGGTTGCTGATTGGGGTTAAGCCACAAGTCAGATATGCAGTGCAGAGGCTGGAATTGAGCTTCCCCTATTTGGGCTGGTGGAGAACAAAGTTTCTGAGGAGCAAATGCTCCGATTCTCATTACACAACAGTCACGTTCTTAATTTCATGAATAAATAGTTTGGTTAGCATTTATCACATGTGACTTAGGTCCTTCTGCTAGACTCCGCCACAGTTTTCTCATGGAATAAATTCTAAGCAGCTCTGTGTTGTGACTTAGATTCATTGTTGTTTCCTTTGAAATTTGCAGAAAGATTCTTCTAAAAAAGTGCCTACTAAAGACATTTTGGCTTATGCTGCAGAAAAAGGACTACTAGATAGCATTTCTGAAGGAAAACCAAAAGAAGAGAAAAAGCAGAAAGTAAAACGACGTAAACGTACCATTACTGGTACTGACAGAAAGCCAAAGGCTGCAGAGCCCCTTCACCATCAAACTGGAGCTCATGTTAAGGCCGAAGTTCCTGTGTCTAAAGCAGTCAGTGACACACAAGAAAAGCATGTGTGCAGAACAAAAGCAGTCAGTGACACACAAGAAAAGCATGTGTGCAGAACAAAAGCAGTCAGTAAAACACAACAAAAGCATGTGCCTCGAACAAAAGCAGCCAGTGACATACAACAAAAGCATGTGCCCAGAACAAAAGCAGTCAGTAAATCACAACAAAAGCATGTGCCCAGAACAAAAGCAGTCAGTAGTACACCCATACCTAAAGCAGTCCCCAATGTACCTGTGTCTAAAGCAGTCAGTAGCACACGACAGAAGAACGTGCACCAAACAAACGGCCACGTTCAGCTGAAGAAATCTGCCGACCCGATTCACACACAGCTGTGCCCGAAGCGCCAAAGCGCACATCTCATTCGTCCCCTCTGGACAAGGTGTCTGACAGACAGACACCTGCTCGAAGGGCAAGACGTAAAGGGGTTGTATTGAAGCCTGAGAAAATCACTTCGCCTCCAGAGCGATAACACCACAGGAAAGTTTGTAAGGAAACAAACTCAGGGTATCAAATCAACCATCACTTTCATAGCCAGACTGGAGCACAGGGTCCAAGTGGTTGAATATTTCCACCACCCCTGCCTAAAATGGTCAGACCAACTGTGCTTAGATATCTTTTACCATGGCTGTACAAACCTTCAAATTTGGCTCTTCCTTTATACAGAAGGTAAAGATTTCTGTATATTAATCAATACTCTTTGATTACAGTATATCTTTATGCAGGATAATCTTGCTGTGGAAAAGAGATATGTTATGGGCTATTAGTGTAGAAATATCCAGGTTAGATAGTAATTTTTAGTCCACTAATTACATTTTAAAGTGAATGGAGCTTAGCTGCCTAAGGCTGATCCACTGTTGCGAGGAGTGAGGTCAAAAAACTCTAATCTCTTGCTATATACTTTAAACTGACAAGTTAAATTGTACATCTGAACCCCCCATCACGGCCTAGATCTGTAAGAGTAATCAATTTCAAATGGACATTTTTTAAAAGTGAGACTGCGTTTTTTAAGTGGCTACTTTTCAAGTGCTAGGCACCATTTTTGCGAGTTTCCACTTTGATGCATGGAAAATAAGCTTTGCACAGTAAGCCTGCTACTTCACCTTTATTTCTAAAACTAGATGTGAACTTTTGTACAGGAAACTGGTTAAGCCCATGTACAGGCTTTCTAGTACTTACTCCCTTGGTTTCTACTCAGGTGTACTTTGAAATGTTAACAATAAAATATTCTCACGTTAAAAATGCTGAATTATCATCATAATGTAACATCAGACTATGTCATGGCTTACAATTGCTTCTGACTAATTCTTAACACAAGTAGTTCTTAGTTAAAAAGAGGTGCTACTGTCAAAACAACTTATTTTTATAAATGTTACTGTTAGTTAGCTGAATAATGACTGAACACAGAGTAGTTTGCCTGTCTTTGGAAATAGCCATGGGCTTCTAAGCTGCTCCCTCTTCCCAGCAAAGATAAAATAACTGGAAAATATCTACAGTTGTTTTATAATCTGAGCAGAGCATAAAGGGAGACACAAAGATACTTTTAACAATAATTCGATTTGTATTTAGAAGTGTTCTAAAAATGAAATAGACAGCATTGCAATATAGAAAGGCAAAGGTAACTGTGGCCCAGAAGAGAAATTTTCCTCTAGGCAACCATTTAAGATACTTGGCAAGAGTGTTGCCATGAGCAGCAACAAAATGTAGTACGGAATCTTAATTGATCTGACATGTGGGTCTGGATTTAGATAGATCCAGAGAAAATGTTTTAACATCTCTATTATTTCTCCACCCACACCAGTCAGTGCCACTGGATCAGCAGTACCTTTATAAGAAAGGATGTGAAAGATACTACACCAGCAGCAAAAACAACTGGCTCATGTCCATTGGATATTGTTGCTTCACTGGATCACTGACAATTTCTTACAGCATTTTAATCTGAGCCAGCTTTCCTAGGCAAAGACATCCCACACCTCCTGCGTATCCCTGTGAGCAATCCATGGTCCTTACCCAGTCCATTTACATGGTGAATTCGGCTCTTGTTTTTGAGAAAACCTCTAAGGATAGATTTAGACCTGTGCACGTGCAATGCTGTAGAACTGGAAAAGAAGAAATTCTTATTTCAAAACCATCTAGGAGGAGGAGAGATTCTACATGTTGGATAGTAGGAATGGACACTAAGAAGATTTTTTTTTTCTTCCAGTATGGTTGTTAAATGCTTAAAATAAACTTAATGATTCTGTGGTTAGAGAATGATTTTTTTCAAATCAAGATCTGTATCATTCATTAGTAAAGTTAAAATTACTTGTAAAAGAACATACATGTATGTGTCTGATGACAGAATTTCTGGGCCTCTTAATAATATATGTCATGATGTCCCACAATCAGCCTCACCTTGCTTTCAGGAATTTGCATTTTTTAAATGGTATGGAAACTAAACCAGTTAGAATCTTGATGTCTTACTAAGGATATCAGAGAGTGACTATTTTGACTCTGCAGATCAGCAGCTTTGTAAGCACTGAGTTCACTTGGTGGAAACATCTGGGACTGAGTCCAGATGGCTTGTAGATGCTTGTACATTAAGTTAACACTCAGTGACTTTTTACAGTAAAACTGTATCTTAAGTAACTGTTTTTCTGTAATCCAGTTGTTCATTTGTAATTTCCAGCTAGAAACTGTTGATTCAACTTTCCAGATGCAAAAGTCTCCATTGTACTGCTATTGCCTCTAAACCCACCTTCCCTTCCCTCAAGCACCATTTGGAACAAAAAATAATTTCC